GACTGGCCCTGGGCGTTAACTTCCTCAGCAAAAGGGGGAGGATTGGGAACAGATGTTAGCTCAGAGCTAATCTTCCTCAAAAAAAAAAAAAGAAAGAAAGAAAAAGAAATACATTATATGTTTGGAAAAGATCATGCTGAATACCATGCAGGGAAATGACCAGAGGGGCCAAAATGGAGAAGTCCAGGGAGGGGGCAGCCATGCAAGGGAGAGACGGGACAGTGGAGATGGGGAGAAGTGGATGGGTATCAAAGCTCTTTGGGAGACAATCAACAGAACTCGGTGAGGGATTGAAGAATTGGATGGGGTGGGGGAGGTAAGGAAGAAGGAGGCCTCAGGAATGACTCCTAAGAGTCTGCCTTGGGAGACGGGATGGCTCTGCCACTGCACACAGTGTTCCCACTTCTGGAACACCCTCCTCTGCTGTAAGCACTCCACCTGGCCGACTCCTACTCATCCTTCAGATCTCCGTTCAAGCATTGCTCCTGCAGAGCCAGCTTGCCTGACCCCAGGGTGGGGGGATTCCTGCGTTTTATGCTCTCACTCTCCTTTGCACGTTTTCTGGGTGTGTGAGCACACATCCGTTAGTACCGTGCCCACCAGACTGTCAGGGCTCCAGCTGATCTGGGCTCACCCTTGCATCCCCAGTGCCTGGCACACAGTAGGTCCTCAATAAATGAAGGCTCCTAAAAGCAAGCAGAGGAGGCTGGAGTGTATCCTGCAGGCTGGTGTTTCTCAAGGGGAGTGGAGGTTGCTGGGTTTCAAAATACATAGACTCTTTCCACCACCTCCATTCCAAAAGAGAAGGTGTCCTCACCCTTCCTACTTTACGAATCAGTGCACGATGAGACTGTTACTGGGGGTGCAGTGACTGTGCACATGAGTCTGAAAGCAGAAAAAAAGTTGACCAGAGTTGCTGTTAGCAGGGTCTGTGGGGGGTTCTGGAGCACAGGAGTGGGGCATGAAAGCAGGAGATGGAGGATCTGTGGGCCTGGTGGGAAGCTTGGAGGGGAGGCGGTACAAGTGGGGCCTGGAGGTGGCGGAGAGGCCCCCAGAGGTGTTCTTGACACCATAGCTATGGGATAGTCATGCAGTCCCTCCTTCTATCCATGGTCCCCAGGGGCCTCCCCAACCTGCTCTGAGAAAAATAAACACTCCACACAATCCACTGTTGCATGTATGGTTCACGAGTTTGTTGTTTTGTTCATGGCTATGTATAGAAAGGCACATAGTAGGGGCTCCAAAAAGTGTTGATTTTTGAAGGAAAAAGCGAATGTTCTCCAAGTGCTCAGGGAGTCCTGCGAGGCAAAGGGGATTACTATTCCCCTGTGGGAAAGGCTGCTGCTCGGATTAAAGAAGATAATGTATATGAAAGTCCTGGCAGCTTCATAAACTCAGGGTCAGAATCTGAGAGAGAGAAAGAAGGTGGGCTGGGGCTTAGGGGGATGTGATGGGAGGCAGCCAGCAGGAGTCCCACAGGGGCCCTGGAGAGCCCCACGGGAAACCTCCAGGGGTCTTCTGGGAGCCAGTCGGCCCCAGCACCATTGACACCCCTGCCCCACCCAGCCAGCCGGCAGGAATTTGCCCCGGTGACCTCCCCAGGCGCACTCTTGTCACCATGGCGACCAACAGCGGAACAAGCAGCCTGATTGTCCCTGCTCAGCGGGGCAGGTGAAACCCCGGCCACGTGACCGATACTGGGCCAGGTGCAGTTACGGAACAGCCACCGCCTCCCCACCTTAACCCATTGCACGCCGCCACCACCCAGGCCACTGTGTCCCTGCCACTGCAGGCTGCACCCCTTGGGCCCTCGGTCCCCAGCCAGAAGGGCAGGGACGAAATACACTGAACACTGCCCTAGGAGTCACACCGCCCGGGAAGGTGTGGGGACGGGGCCACGCACTGGCTGAGTGATTTGGAGCTAGCTTACTTCCCCTCCTGAGCCCCCGTTTTCTCAGCAGTAAAATGAGGATGACACCCTCCCACTCACAGGGAGGTCAGGACTGCTGGGAACAAGGACGCGCAAGTGTAGACTCGACCTCCTCGAGCGTTCTCATTCTGCACCCGGTTTCTCCCCCCACATCACCTCAGCCTATCAGGGGCTCCAGGAGGCCTCCCCTCCAGCGGCTTGACACCCCCCAAGAGTGAACCCTCACCAACCAACAGCGAGTCCACTGGCCTGTCCGTAACAAGCTGAGGAGGGGTGGGCAGCCCCCAGGTTGACCCCTCCCCAACACACCATCGCCAGCGGCCTTCCCAGGTAGCCACAACCCCCTCCTGGCCCCACTGCTTTCTTTGGAGTGTTCAAGTGGAAACCTCAAGCCGACTGGTTATTCTGCTCGCCAGCCCAGCCCTGACCAGGCACGTGACAGGGCTGGGGCCCAGGACTCGGAATGTCTCGAAGCAGCTTCTGCACCGGCTCCCAGCAGAGGGTCAAGGGTCCTGGGCGAGGCTCAGGTTTCCCGGCCAGACTGTCGGCTGGCTGCGGTGGGGGTGGAGGATGGTTGGAAATCACCTTTGAAATACTACTCTTCTGAATCACCAACCTTACGTCAACCCCCTTCCCCTTCAGCCACAAACTCTAGAAAAACACCATCCTTGATCATCTCCTCCAAGGACCCCTCCCAGGCCTCGGACCAGCCCCCACTCAGGGCTCAGATGTCCTCATCATTCCCCTCAAGACTATGCTGGCAACAAATGATCACACCACCTGGTGCGTTGAGAGTCCCCAGTGACCTCAAAGCCCTCCTCAGATGAGAAGAAAACACCTGCCAGTCCCCAGGCTGACTAAAGATGGAGATCATTTTATTAGGCAAGGCATTTATTAGGCCTTAGAGTTAGGATGCATCCTACCGGTCCTTACTCCATCAGGCCCGCCCTAAAGAGGTGGGGGAGAGACCGATGTAACCCTAGCTAGCCCAGGTGTCATCTCCTGGAGGGGGCACTGAGCCAGCCACCAGCTGAACCTTCACCTAAGCCTCCGCTGATGCCCTGAATCTCTCCATGACCATTCCGTAAAATTACTATTGCACTTTGCAACAGATGAACCAAATGACTCCAGTCCTGCAGGAGCCCCCAGCCTACGGTGGACACAGAGAAGGCCAGTTCTACAATACTGTACAGTAGACTCTGAAAAATGCTTTGAGAACATGGGGTGGAAGAGATTAGTTTCAACTAGGGAAATCTGGGAAGCCTTGAGGAGGAGGTGGCGGTTGTCCTGGACCTTAAAAGATGTATAGGACTTGGGACAGCTGGCTATCTGAGGGGCACAGCATCCCAGCAGGGGGAGTGGTGGGGCAAAGATCTAAAGGGAGGTGTGCAGTGTGGTCCTCAGGGTGCCTGGTTGGGGAGTAAGAGAATGTGGAGCATGCATAGAAAGGCAGGTAGGATCAGACTGGGGAAAGCTTGGGATGCTATGAAATTTCAACTCTCAACTTTACAGATGGGGAGTCCCTGAAGATTTCTGAGCGAAAGAATGCTGTAGAAAGAGCAGCTACTCTTGCAACTGCTGAAGGATGGACTGCCGTGGAAGTCAGCCGAGACCTGAGATAATGCCGCCACTGCCACCTCTACTCCAGACAGGGGAGAGTAGATGGCAGCAGGTCAAGGTTCCAAAGGGAAGTGATTTCCCTGCAGAATGTGCTGAGTTCTGGGGGTGGGAGGATTGTTTACTTCTCTGCTGGTAAATGGGGATGGGGGTGGGCGATGGGAGCATATCTGAGCTATTTCAGCTCAATGCAACAAATGACCTCTCCAGGACAAATACCTGGCCTCCCACCTGACTCACAGCAAGAATGACAGACCAGACAGCGGTTCTGGTTCCGCCTCTTGTACAAGTCATTTGCCTCAGTTTCCCCATCTATACAGGGGGGGAGTGAAGGGTATTTAGAGATGAGCTCCAGACACCTTCAAATTGATACGGGTTCAAGACAAGGTTGACAAGAGGGAAGTCATTGTAGAATAGAAACTCGACTGTAACTTTGAATGACCTCTGACAAACAAAGCCAGCCGGATATGCACCCTCCAGGGGATCTAACTGCTCTGTAGATTTTATGACCCCTGCTTGCGCATGTACCTCCCAGCTGTGGTAAGATGATAACTTTGTTCTTTTGCATTCCTTAGGAATGTGATGACCCCCGAACAGAGAGTCTATGCTGATAGCCATCATCATTGAAAACTGAAAGATCTGGGTGGCACTCCCAGCCTGTAACAGAAGGTCAACATTCCTAACCCCCTCCCCAATAATCCATCAGCCTATATAACTGCTGTAAGATTCTGTGCCCCCAAAGATGGTTCTTTTGGACATGAGGCCGCCATCTTCCCTCTTGCTAGCAAGCTGTAATAAAAAGTCCTTTTTCTCCTACCACCGTGCCTCTTGCCTATTGGCATGTCTTGCGGCGGGCAGACCAACCCCCTTTTTGGGTCTTTCTAGAGGCCACAATTTCAGGACGGGTAAAACGGGCTCCATCAGGCCTTCCTGGGCCCTGGGCTGTGGGGCACGGGGCCTCCAAGCTGGCGCCCTGGCGAGAAGAGCCACTCCTGGCGCCTCTCGCCCGCGCCCGCCGGCCGCACAGAAAGTACGGCGCCCACCCACGGCGGCGCGCCAGGGCACAGGAGCAGGCCAGGTGCGGGCCGGCGCGGGACAAGGCACGGCCTCGCGGCCGCCCACTTCCGCAGCCCCAAACCCAGAGCATCTGGCGCAGCGCAGGCCCGGCTCCCATCCCGCAGGGCCTGACCGCCCGCGAGGACGTCGCGCGGCAGGGGCTGGGCGGAGCTTCGCGGGGCGGGGCCCGGTGACCGTCTGGCTCCGCGCGGGGCGAGGCCGGGGCGGTGCTCCCGCCTGCGGGCGCAGGGGCGGCGGGGGTTACGTCATACCGCGAGGGGCGGAGCTAGCGGCGGAACAGACTCGTCTCTGGGACTACGTGAGAAAACGTGAGCGAAGGCGGGAATTCCGCGGTAGGGGCGGGGAGAGGGCGGAGCTGCAGTCGGAACGGGGCGGGAGGCGGAGCGAGCGGACTGGACGAGGTGCGCGCTGTGCGGCGGTTCCCGAGCATGCTCCGCTGGGTCCGCGCCTGGGGGCTCCCCCACAGGGGGCTCGGTCCCCCCAGTCTCAGCTTCTCTGGGGTGCCCGTCGCGCCCAGCAGCAGCAGCAGCGGCCGAGGCGGCGCCGAGCCGAGGTCAGTCAAGGGCGCATGGTGGGAGGCCGTCCTTCACTCCTCGCCCTCTTGTCCGGCCCCCGACGGCCCCACCTCCTCCGCTTGGGCCCGCCCCCCCAGGCCTCCCGCCCAAACCCCTTCGCCCGCCGGCTCAGACCCTCCCCCGCTCCTTGCTCCTCCCGCCAGGCCGGTGCCGCTTTCCTACAAGCTTCTGGACGGGGAGGCGGCCCGCCCGGCCCTCGTCTTTCTGCACGGGCTCTTCGGCTGCAAAACCAACTTCAACTCTGTCGCCAAGGCCCTGGCCCAGCAGACAGGCCGAAGGGTGAGCTTCCGGGAGAGGCGGGGTCCCGGGGAGGGCGGGGCCAGGAAGGAGGCCGAGGCGGGGCCAGCTTCTCTGCCCTCGCTGCTGGGACCCCGCTGAGGAGTGGCCGGTCTCTCTGGGCAGAAATGAAAGGAGAGGTTGACCTTCTAAGGATGGAGGCCAAAGGGCAGACCCAGGCCCTAGATGGACCCTATTCATTCCCTCATGCTTACATTCATCCAGTCCTTCGTTCGTGTTACAGCTCTCCGGCTGTGTGGTCCACGCTGAGCTAGGCTCAGCTGTCCGATGCCTAAGCGCCAGCACCCTCCCTGCTAAGGGGGCTAGCCCCTGCTCGTTAACCGGGGACGGCAAGGGTCTTCCACCTCTTACAGTAGCCCATCCTTTTTTGCTCCAACTGTTGTAATTCTTGGCATCTGCTCTTTCTGGGGTTGCCACCCAACCAGGCCAGACCTTCAGAGACGTGGTCACACTCCTCGGGCCTTCTCCTCTCTGGCAGAGTGGCCCTGGGTTCTTCCTCCGGGCCGCTTAGGCCTGGGAATTGGGCCCTCTCACCATCCTGGCCCTTTCGCACTCAGGATCTCTCCCCAGGCTCTCCATCCTCCTCAGCCTGCCGGTCTGCCAGGCCTTTGGCTGTCTACGCCCGGAATATGGATGCCTGTGCTGCCCCCTCTCACCCTACTCCTCAGGTGCTGACAGTGGATGCTCGGAACCATGGTGATAGCCCCCACAGCTCAGACATGAGCTATGAGGCCATGAGCCAGGACCTGCAGGACCTCCTTCCCCAGCTGGACTTAGTGCCCTGCGTCCTCATTGGTCACAGCATGGGAGGCAAGACAGCCATGCTGCTGGCACTACAGAGGGTGAGCCGTCCCTATCCGGGACTTCCGTCCACTCACTGTAAACCCTGAGTACCCAGCAGACAACCTGGGACTCAAACAAGCCTTGGATGGCCAAGTTCAGGATCCAGGAACTATGCCTGAGACCCATTGTGCCTGCCCTAAGTCTGGTCCCCAGTCTGGTTCTCTCCCACAGCCAGAGCTGGTGGAACGCCTGATTGCCGTGGACATCAGCCCAGTGGAGACCACATCTAGCTCAGACTTCCCAACCTACGTGGCAGCCATGAGGGCCATAGACATCCCGGATGAGGTGTCCCGCTCCTGTGCCCGCAAACTGGCCAGTGAGCAGCTCAGCACTGTCATCCAGGTGATGCACCCAAGCCCCTGGATAGTGTTGTGGGCTGGGACCCATCAAGGGAAGAGTGGCAGCCCCACGCCTCACAGGCAGCTGCCCCCAACTGCCGGACTCCCACAGGACATGGCTGTGCGACAGTTCCTGCTGACCAACCTGGTGGAGGTGGACGGGCGCTTCGTGTGGAGGGTGAACTTGGATGCCTTGGCCCAGCATGTGGACAAGATCATGGCCTTCCCACCACAACAAGAATCCTATTCTGGGCCAACCCTCTTCCTCCTTGGTGGAAATTCTCAATTTGTGCCGTAAGTCAGGCTGGGTGGCGGGAGGGGCATGCCTTCCTTCTCAGTTCCCAGCCTGGGGAGCCTGCCTCCGGGAGGGCTTGGATATGGGGCAGGGGGCGCCTGAGAGTCCAGAAACGCCACTGGCCACGTGGCCTCACGTGGCTCTCCATCTCTCCCTGCTCTGCCTCCTTCTCTCTTTCTATCCCACTTCCCCTTTCACCCATGCTGGGCGGTGTTCTCTTCGGTGGACAGGCCCAGCCACCACTCTGAGATTAGGCGGCTCTTCCCTCGGGCCCAGATGCAGACCGTGCCTAACGCTGGGCACTGGATCCACGCCGACCGCCCGCAGGACTTCCTGGCTGCCATTCGAGGCTTCCTGGCCTGAGGGTTGCTGGCCAGAGGGGACACAAAACCGCAGGCTTCAAGGCCCTGTTGCCTGCTCCACGTTTCTGCACAGAAGGACTCAGGCGGGCACAGAGGGCATGAGGGTACAGAGGTGGTCAGACCTCAAGCTTTAATGAATAAAGACACTGCTCCCAAGGTCCTGGGCTGAGCTCGCTCACCGCCAACGTCCCCACTGACCCAGGGGGAATCGGCCCCGGGGGGTCCTAGCTGTTCCGGGGGCCACAGGGACTCCCAGAGTGCCCCTGGACTCTCTCTGCAGCTGACTCTCGACCCGCTGTCTCACCAGATGCTGCATGTCCTCCTGAGGGCAGGAGAGCAGGTTCAGGGGCAGACCGTGTGCCCTTCTCCCCAGGGCCGTTCCTCCCAGGCCCGACCAGCATTCCCACCCTACCTCCCAGGCCTCCACTTCCTGCCTCAGTCTCAGTTTCTCCTCCAGGACCTCCAGCAGCTGGGCCTCCACAGCTCGCAGCCTGGCTCTGCATGTGTCCAGCTCAGCCTCCACTGCCTGCTTCCTGCAGATGGCAAGGAGAGCAGCCTGAGGCTCAGGCCCGCCCATCTGGTGCTGGGCCCTGGGGGTGGGCAAGTGTGGCCACAGCCCCTACCTTGTGACAGGGTAGGTGTTCATGTGGCTTTCCTTCCTGGAAGACCTGACGTCCCCCTTCCCCTCCTCTAGCAGGACTGATCCCTGAGGGTGAGCCACCCACTGTCCTCCCAGCCCGTGCAAGCAGCTGTCACTCACTTGGCAATGGCTTCATCCCGCTCTTGGAGGACTTGGTCCAGCGAGGGCTCTGTCTGGGTGTCCCCCAGTGCTCCAGCCGCTTGGTCTTCTGGGGTCTGTTGTAGGGTGACAGAGGAAGTGTCAGTGATCTGGGGCTTGCCTGGATGAGGTGCCCCGCTCTGGGCCCTTCCGCCCTGGGCTTGGCCCTGATGTTGATGTCAGGAGGGGAGGACTCTGAGATGTTCTGCCCCTCCCCCCCAGTGCCCAGTCTCCTGGACCTCTGGGAGTAGAGCAGGGGGACTTCCATGCTGAGGGGGTGGCAGGTGTGGCTCCTGCCTGGCTTAAGGGTAAGCAGAGGGGGTAGGGAGTTTGGACCCCCCAAGGAGGGAAGGAGTTCTCACCCGATCCCCAGAGAAGAGACAAGGTGGGTTCAAAAGGACACTTACCTCTCAAGGGCCCCAGACAGGTTGGCCTGGTGACTGGGACTCTTGTCAGTGGGGTGGGGCAGGCAGAGGACATGGCCCTTTGCCCTCCCTTCCGGGTAAGGCGCTCCCTGCCAGGCCCCGCCCCCAGCAGGCTGACCAGGCCCCTGCCTTCTATCCTGGATCCTGGAATCCTCTGGCCAGGGCCAGAGCTTCCTCAGCCCCTTCCTGCCCAGTCGTACTCGTCCCTCACCCCAAGGGGGCACTCGCCCCACATCAGGAGATGAGAAAGGAGGGATGGAGACAGGTGCTCTGGACCCCTGTCCTGAAGAGCTGGCATCAAGGAACCCTGAATGGCATCATTCACACGTATAACTACAACCTTAGCTCAGCAGAAAACTAAAGGAAAAACGTTTCATCATTCCTGGCAACTTCTTCCTAACATCTTGAATGTCCATCCTTCCTAGCAATATGGCTCATTATTCCTCCAACATTCCCAACATTCTGATCCTTGAGCGTGGGTGGGTCCGCTGTGCTCCAGGGAGGTGGCCTTGGTATCCCTCGCCTCCCTCAAGGTGACCATTGAGCACACCAGTGACATCTAAGGTGTAAAAGGGAATTTTTCCCCATTGAGAGGCCTCTTCAGCAAGGTTACTTCTTGAGGATTAGGTGCTCAACTGAGCCCTAAACAGTAAATACTTCCTCCAAGACCCCCAGGAAACGCCCTGCAGACATGACTCCCACTTGTCTCTGGGTCCCACTCAGCCAGGTGTGCCTCCCACAGCCAGACTCCACAATTTCTTTGGTTGAACCCCAGGCGAAGAGGTGGGGTTGAGCTGTGCCCCCAAATACACCCCTTTTGTTGAGGAGATGCAGTGTGTTTCGAGAGGCTGCTCTGGGCCGTGACCCCCCAGGGTGAGCAGAGATAAAGCATAGATATAGTCAGAAAAGCTTGCTGGAGGTCCAGGGGCAGTGGGAGCGCAGAGGAGGCTCCCCACGCCCAGGCAGTCGGGGTTCCACAGGAGCTCGTCCCAAATGAATCCTGCAGGCCGGCAGGAGTCAGCCAGGAGAAGCTAGGCATTTCTTGTATTTCACTTTTTATTTAGAAACAATTTCACACTGCTCTTAAATGTCAAAAAAAAAGTATCCTTTTAGGGTAAAAAAAATCTAATATGGTACCCAATACTGTACCCAGTTGTCACATCTCTCTGGTCTCCCTCAATCTAGAACAAATTTTTGCAGTATTTCTTTGAATTTCGTGACCTTGACATTTTTGAAGATTACAGTGAAGTTACTTTGTAGACTTTGTAGACCATCCTTCAATTTGGGTTTGTCTAATCCTTCCTCATGATTAGACCTCTATTATACATTTTGGGCAGAAATACCACAGAAATGGGGCTGTGTCTTGTATCCAGTATCCTTTGGAACCATGACTGGTGGTATTAATGTTGATCACTTGATTATGATTAATAAGTACTGGGGAAGGGAGGTATTTTGAGACTATGAAACATCGTTTTCTTCACCCCACTTTCACCCACAAGTTACAGCATCCATGGATGTTTCCTTGCCCGAATTAATTGTTACTATAATGGTTTGCAAATGGTGATTTTCTAACTTCCTCATTCCTTCTACATTTATTAGATGGCATTCTATTTTAAAGAAGAACCTTCTTGGGGCCAACCCCATGGCTTAGCGGTTGAGTGCGCGTGCTCCGCTACTGGCGGCCTGGATTTGGATCCCGGGTGCGCACCGCTTCTCCGGCCATGCTGAGGCCGCGTCCCACATACAGCAACTAGAAGGATGTTTAACTATGACGTACAACTATCTACTGGGGCTGTGGGGAGAAAAAGGGAAAAAAAAAAAAAAAAGGAGGAGGATTGGCAATAGATGTTAGCTCAGGGCCGGTCTTCCTCACAAAAATAAAATAAAATAAAAAAATAAAGAACCTTCTCTTCGTCCTCATTTATTTATTCATTTATATCAGATGGACTTGTGGTTTCCTATTTTACTCAGTGGCTCATAAGCCACTCCTGTCGTTTGTGTTGATGCTCATGTTGTCCAGGTCTGACCAGAGCGGCCCCTCCCTGGTCTCTCGTTTTGATATGTGCCATCATTCTTGGAGCACTTTCTTTGTTTCTGGCTCAACAAGATATTCCAGGCTCTTGTTTTTCCCTGACCCAGCCCTGGACTTAGCCATTTCTGCAAGAATACCTGGTTCTTTTTGGTAGAGAATAGTATTCAGAAACCAAGATCTGGGTGTCAGTTGTGCTCATTGCAATTAGGGTAATCTCTACTCCCGGGCCCACTCACACACGTGTTTATACACACACACAAATACACATTTCATCTATGTTTGTTTCTTTTTCTAGGTGATGGTTAATTTTATTTCTCAACGGGGCCACGGGATGCCCACATACTGGTTAAACATTATTTCTGGGTGTTTCTGGAAGAGATTAGCATTTGACTTGGTGACCTGAGTAAAGCAGATGGCCCTCCCTGGTGTGGGTGGGCATCATCCAATCCATTAAGGGCCCAAGTAGAACAAACAGGCAGAGGAGGGGTGAATTCTTTTCTCTTCCTAACAGCTTGAACTGGGATATGGGTCTTCTCCTGCCCTCCAGCTGGGACTTGCGCCGTGAGCGCTCCTGGGTCTCAGGCCTTTGGGCTTGGACTGGAACCACACCATCAGCTCTCCAAGTCGCCAGCTTTCAGACAGCAGGTTGTGGGACTTCTCTGCCTCTACAGTCATGTGACTCAATTCCTCATAATAAATCTCTTCTCAGCCTTTGTCCTATTGGTTCTGGTTCTCTGGAGAATCCTAACTGATAGAATTTACACATATTGAAAAAAAGTTTACATTTAGCCCTAAATTCCAGTCCAACGGAGGGGCTTTATCCTAGCCTTCCTCCATTCCATATTTTACCCCCTCTCCCTAACGTCTTCAGTGTATTTCATAAAGTGTTCAGTCTCCCTGTATGTAGCTAAACCCAGAAACCGTGGGGCTCCCCCTGACTTAGATGCCCTCCTTATATGGGCTCGGCTCCTGCAGGGCTGCCTTCCCACCCCCCTCCAATGCCATGCTCCTGCACGGCCCTGGCTGCCACTGGGCTACAGAACATTCCTAAGAGCCTCACAGTCCTTCATTTCATAAATATTTATTGGGCACCTGCTGTGTCCCAGGCCTGTTTCCAGGTGAGTGACATTAAACAGGAAGGCAGACAAAACCTCCCAACCTCACAGAGCTCACCTTCTAGTGAAGGGAGAGAGACAATAGAGAGATGGGAGAGTAGACCAGATGGTAGGAGGTGCTGTGGAGGACGAGAGAGCAGGGAAAGGGACGGAGGGAGGAAAGAGCAAGAGGACGGGGATTGCTGTTTCAGTTAGCTCTGTGCTGCCCTAAGGAGATCACAGATATTAACTGACCACGTAGACGAAAAACAGCCATTATGACTTGGAATAACATTTCCAGCAACAGTGTCATTCGTGGATTCAGAAAGTTCTGTATTTCCAAGCACAAATGAAGATGATGTGTTTGAGAAAACTGTATTAGGGAACCCACAGGAGGTGCTAGGGATGACACAGGACGCATGACAATGAGAGGCAGAAACACAAGTGAACGGTTGGAATACACTTTCACGCACCATGAGAGTGGAAAAGAATTGTTTTGAAATACAGTTATTTTAAAAAGTATGTGATTTTAGATATTTAAATTCTAAATGTTGTAACTAAATGTTGTAAGTAGGGAGTCGATGAACTCACTTGTATCCCTAAAAGTTTAAATTAGAATTTGGGGCCAAATTTATTTTCTTTTAATCTTCTCACTGGAAAAAGGAGGAAATAACCTTATATTCAGGCATATAGTGAATTCCATCACAGAGCCTTGCCTCAAATACCACACGCTGAGCAGTAGGATTCATTCTGCAGCTGCCCACTGCCCACATCTCCCTCCTCCCCTGCTCCCCCGGGGTGGCTGAGCCCGGCATCAGGGTTGAGCTGGAAGGTGGGTACAGGCTGATGGTGGGGGAGGCCAGAGGGGGAAGCAGAGCTACCAGCAGCAGGGGGCTAGGCTTTGTGGTCAGAACAGCTGGGGTTTGCAGGGCTGGGCAGCTTACAACTTGTGTCACCCACCCTCGTGCCCTTGTTTGTGTTTATCTCCCAGAGCCTCATCATCCTCGTCTTTCAAGTGGAACCAACGCAGGGCCTCCCTGACCGTCACAGTAGGGGTGAATTGAGGCCCCTCACACAATGGCCAGCACTTGGTACAATAACGGGCCGGGGCAGACTTCTGAGAGAAGGAGAGTAAGCCTGCCAGACCAGAGAGAGCAACAACCGGAGAAGGTCACACATACACACACTCACACTCACACTCCCCAGCCATGGCGCTTGGGTCAGCTGCCTTTCCTCCTCTGCACCTCCCACAACTCTGCCCCAGGGACAGTTCTATTCCTGAATCCTACACAAACTGCCTCCTCTTCCTTCTCCAGACCTCTACAGCCCCTGTACTTCCCCATCATGGTCTTTTCACCGTCAAGACGTCTCCCCCACCAGCCCGAGAGCTTCTGGAGAACAGGCGGTGACTGTCATCCCAACCTGGGCACACAGGGGCTCAGCAATGAGGGCATCCGGGAGGCAATACTGGCCTTGCCCAGCAGGTGGCAGCAGTGCCCAATATCAGGCCAGTGGGCCAGCCCACCAGCGCCGCCTGTGGGTGGAAACCCCAAACTGTGTCCAGGGGCTGTGGGAGCCCCCAGATGCCCAGCCTTTCCCTCAGTCCTCCTCTATAGGACACTGCTCACTCAAGCGTGCACAGATTTACCCCTCACTCCACAACACTTTCTGTGCCAGCCTTGGGAAATCAACAAGAATGTCACCCAGATCCTTTTCTTTAGATGTGGCCATCTAATGGGGGGACAGATGCCTAACATAGAGTATATCCACAATAGTGCTACAATCGGGATAGATGTGTGTCTGTGGGACCACACAGAAGCAGCCCAAAACTCATTCTTGGGCAGTCAGGGAGGACTTCTCAGAGGAGGTGATATCTAGGAGGGAAGGACTAGAAGTCATTGGCCAGGTGCCTGAGGAGGAAGAGGGATGCAGGGAGGAGAGTGTGCCAGGCCTGGAAGTAAGGCCTGTGCAAAGGCCTGAGAGGAGGGTGTGGATTGGGCATTATGGCTGCTCATGGGGGCAAGGTAGCCTCCAAGAGCTGAGGCAGGGCCAGACCACAGAGGACATGGAAAGCCACACTGGAGTATCAGGATTTCCCCCCAGAGCCATAGGGAACCTCACTGCCCTGAACAAGCGTGG